CTGTCACAGTTTATTTGAGAAAATCATGACAATTTGTAGAGTAATCCAAATTGACCAAATGATATACCGAATTGATCCTCACTACTCAATATACAAATCATCAGAAGACACATAACCTAAATTATTACTCCAACATAACCAATACAGCTCCGTATGATGATTAGGCAAAACTGCCCTGTTTTTTGACAGATTCGCTGTCGTCTGATTCCGACCCCTAAAAGGCTATAAAACGTGCTTGAATTGGAAATAATTAAACACTTTACTCACAGTTTTCGAGGTCCTCTACGATTTTCGAGAAGGAATGATTCCCAAATTCACACTCCAAACCCTTCGATTTTGGCTCCGAAAACAGATGCGTAGCAGATTTTATTTCCCTTTCCGGCGAGCAGGCTGAAATTCACACCAAATTTCGGCGACCACCGCCGAATAAAACTGCCTAGCACCACCATTAATGGGAAGCTAACTTCTCGAGGTTTGTAACAATACCTTCTATCATCAATACTCCACCGTTAACACCTCCGTTCATTTAATTCTTTGAAGAGCCAAAAGCTGAAGTCCAGATAACGGCCACCATCGGCGACCTCTGCTGGAAATCACCAACACCGGTGTACATCTGAACTCACAATTATTCCAAAGGTGGGTCCTGATCGACGAGATTCATTCTCGAAGGTCTCCAAACTATTATTTTTCCTTAAAACCCAAATGTGAAATTATCTTTTCAAATCCCCAATTATTTTCCCGTAATCAAATCTTCCGAATCTCCTTTATTGAATTCAAAAATTCTCGAACAGGGGTAGGAACTAGGGCTTGGAGAAATTGGGTGAAATAGGCGAATACTTTTGGGGAAAACAAAAGAGGTAAGATAAGAGGGATTTTGGTGCAAACATAATGAAGAAATTAAGAGATAATTTTTTCTTGATTTTCTGTAATATTATGCGAGAATTGGTAGAGAGAAAGAGAACGTAAGGAGAGAGTGAACAGAGTAATGTTTTGTGATGAAGAAACGACAGAATGATAAATGGCTGTAATTTGTTTATTATTTGCATTTTCGCCCCCCATCTTCCTTTTATTTTCTTTTCTTTTCTTGATTTGTTTAAAAATTAAACTAGTGACCAAATCGATTTGATTTCCGTAAGTAGTTTCATAGTAACCAAATTCAAGTGGTTGCTAGCAAACCAATTAAATGGTTGTTAATAATTAAATTAAAGACTCGTAGCAACCGTAAAAAAAAATTGATGTTAAATTGGTCACTATTGACACTAAGTTATAGTGACCATAAAAATTGTCGCTACAAACTTTAACTTTAGTTGCTACAAGATGTCTAACTATTAGTGACCACTTATAGCTACCAAATGTTCGATGGTCACAACAAGATTTAACCCTTCCCACTTTTGCTACAAAATTACTTTTGGTCACTAAATGTTCACATTTAGTGACCATTTAGTTATGGTCGTTGAGAATTTGGTCACTGAAACTAGTTTTTCTTGTAGTGATGGAATATCGTGATTCACATCTGTATGATATTTTTCATTCTGATGGGACTCTAGTTCAAAGATCTTGCCCAGGCACTCATCAACAAAATGGAAAAGCCGAACGAAAACACCGTCATATTCTAAATTCTACTCGCTCTTTAATTCTTTCAGCCTCTTGTCATGAATCACTCTGGGGTGAAGCTGCTCTTACAGCCGTGTACACCATAAACCGTGTCCCTTCACCTGTAATTGAAAATGAGACACCTTATTCTCGTCTTCATGGGCAATCTCCTGATTATTCAACTCTTAAAGTGTTTGGGTGTGCTTGCTTTGTTCTTCTTCAACCCCATGAGCATAATAAACTTGAACCTAGGGCTCGATTATGTTGTTTTCTGGGATATGGTATTGAACATAAAGGTTATCGTTGTTGGGATCCAATTTCCAATCGTCTTCGTATTTCTCGTCATGTTGTCTTCTGGGAAGATCACAATGTTTGCATCTGTGTCTAAGTTTAGATG